TACTATTTTCTCTCAGATACGGCATGAGGTTTACATTTTATTGTTTTATTTTTGTGTATAAATAAACATTGTATATTTGCAAATTTTTTGGATTCTAATTTTCATATTTCTAAAAAAAATTTAGATGACCAGTAAGGGGGAGTCTACTGATAAGATGAATGTTTGGCTTATGACACGTAGAGTAGATGACCCAGATGTTATCCAGACCTTGGTAGTTTCCAAACACCTTTGATTGTATTTAAAGTTTATTTTTTGTGTGTCAACCATTTTAATTTCGTGTATACTTGTGTGTCTTATTCAATACAGGATGAGTTTAATCGTCAACTCTCTATGCTACCTGAGGATGGTCGGACTTTGGAGGCTAGGAATGCCATTTTCCATGAGTTGATAGGTCATGACAGACATGGATATTGTCGCACATACGGGAGAATCGTGCCTCGGAGAGTGGTGTATAAGGATGGTGCTGGGCCATCACAGTCAACACCCCATCCATCGACTATTGATCAGATCACGCAGCAGGTTCGTGCTGAGCTAAGGGATGAGTTGAGGGAGGAGCTGCGAGCAGAGTTCTCTACACATTTGCAGCAGATGAGAGCTGAGATGATGGCCCTTGTGTCACAGGGGGCGAGTGTGGATCCCAACAGACAGGTTCCATATAAACTTCACAATTGTTTGATAGTTCAATTTTCACTCAAGATTATGTATAAAATTCGAATATGATTAACACATTATGCATTGACTAACATAGGTTCCTGATGCATCGAGTGGCCACCGGGCATTTAGAAAATCTGCAGAAGACGAGAATCCATATACACCACCACCAGAAGATCAGGTATAAAATGTATCTTTGCATTCTAAGCTAAAATGTATCTTTGCATTCTTTACATTCTAAGTTAAGAGACTTGTAGGAGAAGACGGGACTAGTTAGAGCCAGATTTAGCACGAAACGTGGCACACACGACCTCTTAGGCACGAGAAACTTGTGGGAGAAGACGGGGCTCGAATTGAGTTCCCAGTTTGGGAGTTAGAGCCGGATTTCACTTTAGGCAAATTAGTTCCTTAAGAAACTTGAATTCGAGGAGTTAATGCCCCAAAATCACCAAACGGCGTCAGTTTAGCACGAAACTTGGCACACACGACCTCCTAGGTACGAGAGACTTATGGGAGAAGACGGGGCTCGAATCGGGTTCCCGGTTTGGGAGTTAGAGCCGGATTTCACTTTAGGCAAACTAGTTCCTTAAGAAACTTGAATTCGAGGAGTTAATGCCCCAAATTCACCAAACTGCGTCGGTTTAGGACGAAACTTGGCACACACGACTTCCTAGGCATGAGAGACTTGTGGGAGAAGACAAGGCTCGAATCGGGTTCCCGGTTTGGGAGTTAGAGCCGGATTTCACTTTAGGCAAACTAGTTCCTTAAGAAACTTAAATTCGAGGTGTTAATGCCCCAAATTCACCAATCGGTGTCGGTTTAGCATGAAACTTGGCACACATGACCTCCTAGGCACAAGAGACTTGTGGGAGAAGACGGCGCTCGAATCGGGTTCCCGGTTTGGGAGTTAGAGCCGGATTTCATTTTAGGCAAACTAGTTCCTTAAGAAACTTAAATTCGAGGTGTTAATGCCCCAAATTCACCAATCGGCGTCGGTTTAGCACGAAACTTGGCACACACGACCTCCTAGGCACGAGAGACTTGTGGGAGAAGACGGGGCTCGAATTGGGTTCCCGGTTTGGGAGTTAGAGTCGGATTTCGATCTAGTCAAAATTACTTACTAAACTATCTTTCTAATTATATAGTAGTTAATTTTTTTATATTTTTCTGTAATTAAAATATTAACACCATTATATTGTTAGTAATTATTTTTATTTTGTTTTTTTCAGATATTTCCTGAGAAGCAGTTTGCTTCGTGTGGAATGTGGGCATGTAAAGATTATGACCAACTTCTGTTTTTGTAACCCACAAAAGAATCAAGACGAAAACTTTTGGTTTTGATTTTGATTTATGTTATTTAAATTTGTGAACAACATTATGTATGTATCATGTGACCAACATTATGTATTTTCATCATTTGCCAACTTTTGTTTATGTATGTATTTATATTATTATGTAATTTTTGGATTTTTTTGTAATTATTTTTCATTTGCCAACATTTGCCAACATTACATCATTTGCCAACATTAGTTATTTTATTTATGTATTTATATTATTATATCATTTGCCAACATTACAGGTTATTTTTATATTTTTAATAATTATAAAACAGGGTTTTTTTTTATAATTTTTTTTGAGACGGCAGCACACCCCGTCGCAAAAAAAAAAAAAGTGCCAGGCTTTTTGCGACGGCAGCCATACTGTCGCAAAAGGTATGGAATTTATTGAAAAACAAGGCTTTAGCGACGGTATAATTGCCGTCGCCAATAGTCATTAGTGACGGCTCAGGTTGCCGTCGACAATAGTCAAAAGCGACAACATTTTTTAGCGACGGGATTTTTGCCGTCGCACAGACCTATTTTAGCGACGGAAAGCTTGTGCCGTCGCAAAAAAACCCAGATTTTCATCCATTATTGGCGACAGAAAATTGCCGTCGCAAAAAAGAAAATTTCCCATCGCAAATACAATGTCGCTAAAGCTCTTTTGCAACCCCCTTTGTTGCGACCCCCACTTGCTGTCGCAAAAAGAAAAATTACCGTCGCAAATAGCTTTTGAGACGGCGTGCGAGAGTATTTGTGACGGCGTTTTGCCGTCGCAAAAAACAATTTTTTTTGTAGTGATATATTGATCTTATGTAGGATATTTATATTTATATATGTTATATTTATGATTTATTTGTATAATATAATATAATAGGAAATCAGGTTAATTATAATATATTTAGACTTAGGTTTATAATATACTTAGACCTAGGTTTAATCACAAAAGTGTGTGTGAAGAATATTTAAGTTAACAGTAGCCACGGAGAAAGAGATTGAAAGTATTACGACCCCAAACCGCCCATAGTAGTTTGGTGTCATGATGGCCAGTAATCCGAGATTACCGAAGGCCAACTTTCAAAATTCACACACAACAGAGTACAAATACATGGGGCTCACAAGTACGGAAGCGATACCCACAATCAGATTAGTCCATAAGAGCTGTGCATAAGTCAAATGAAATAACAGCCATCTTCATCTGGGTTACAACTTAATTACAAACGAAGCAAAGTACAAATTACATCTTACATATTAACAAAGGGCTTCACAAGCCGACACAAACAAAATATACGAACTATAGGTCAAGGAACACAGTCTGCCAGGTTGCCGACATCCTCTTTGCTGACATAACAATCATACAAAACACACATCTTGATCAAAAGGCTTCTCAAGCCGACGTATGCAACATACAAGTATTACAAATCGAGAAGCATAATTTTCAAGACTGCCGACGTAAATACAGGTTAAGACGACATAATCAAAATCCAAAATAAGCTCCAGAATCACATCTAGGCGTCACCGCCTTCTTGTTCATCACCTACATATATATAGAGAGGGTGAGCTTGGATACTCAGTGAATGCTATAAATAATAAAGGGGTTCGCATGAATAATAGCCGAAGTCCTTTAAAACAATACAAGTCAAAACTTTAGATAACAAGGGATGGACCTCGTCCATCTAACAAATCTTCAAAGTTTCAAGGGATACTTACTATCATCACATATTACAAATGATAACATTCCGGCAAACATATCCACACGGTAAACCGTCAGTGGCAAAACAAGACAAAGCAAGAGAGGCATCTCAAACAAGGGTGCTACAAAAGTTTAGAGTCCTCTAGCATAAGGGACCTATGTTACAAAGGCCCGTAGCATTTTAACACGAGAGTGCTGCGAAAGTTTAGAGTCCACAAAGGCCCGTAGCATTTTAACACGAGAGTGTTGCGAAAGTTTAGAGTCCTCCAGCACAAGGGACTTTCAAGACAAGATGTGCTGCGAAAGTTTAGAGTCCTCCAGCACAAGGGACTTCCAAAACGAGATGTTGCGAAAGTTTAGAGTCCTCCAGCACAAGGGACTTTCTGAGAAGGTCATCAAAACAAGATCATGCTTGATATACAAAACAGGGACAATTATTCATACTTAACAAATACTTTCAGAACAAAGCAAAGCAAAGTCTTTATCAAAACGTATAACATAGCTTTATTAAAAATACCACTCACCTAGTTCGTCAAACGTCGGGATCAAGGCAAGTCCAAGTCCTACAAACACATGGCAATGTCTATTGAATGCACTTCTCAAAACAAGTCTTGCATGCAAGCAAATGACTTCAGCATTCTTCAAAAACTAAGTCAAATCAAGTCAAAACACAGTTTCTTATCTTTGGAAAAACATGCTGGGCAACTACC